TTATGCTTGATACTGTGTTTTCAATGAGAAAACAAGGTTTTCAGCATCTTCATACCTTCCCATCCTTGTCATCCGGAGAGTCAAAACTATCCAGGAATTTGCAGAATACTTGGTCTTCGGTCCACTCACCGTTTCGGTATTTAGGGTGATTTTTGACATTGTATACTCCTCTTAGATCCTCAATTGTAATCACACCATCTCCGGTCTTATCCAGCTTTTTGAATGCCTGTAGCACCACCTCCTTTCTGGCATTAGACATGGGTGGCTACAGTCACATGAATGAAAATAATAACATGAGCACAACTGGCCTAAACTGGTCTAAAAAAAGAATACATCACCGTTGTGTATTTACCCTCAGAGTGATAAGAAACTCATCAAAATCAATCCACTGCCGTCTTTGTCAAAGCACTGAAAAAGGTTCATGGCCTCTTCTTTCTCGATGAGTACACCGTAGTCACTCAGGCCTTTCAGGAACTCTTTCATGTCCAGTGTGCGACTATTGTCATCAACCATGATCCTAAAAGTCCTGAGAAAATCAGACTGCAGTCAAATATCTGCACTTCAGTTTATATGAAGAAACACGCTTCATGCATACTGTACCTGCCCAGTCCCTTGATTCCTGCGGACCCTCGTGCCAAACACTGCAGCCTCAGACGCTCAATGGGGTCTGAACAATTCGCCAGCTGCTTCTTGGCATTGATTGCCATCTTTCGTTTATGCCGCGATGTACCGGCCATCCTACACCTATCTGCAGGGCCGTGGCTGGGGTTTGCGGGGCCCCGGTGCAGGTTGTACCAGTGGGCCCTGTTTGAAATTGTTTAATTTGTATGTTCGTTCTATTTATTTATTTGTGCTATTTACACAATGTTTAGGTTTTTTCAAGTTTGTAGGTGTCCAGGTACAGAAACCGAATAATGAAATGTAAAATAACACTGCATAGTCTTCAATGTAAAAATTTATTATACAGTCAAACCAAAATTTATTCAAACACCTTCAACATTTCTCACATTATAACACTTAAGCAAAACATGGTCAGGTCACAGTGTCTGAATAATTTTTAGTCCCAATTTTTTTATATAAATTTCACTGGTAGTCCACTGTATGAAGAATTTTTGGGTATAATATGTCACAGTTTACTTTATTTTGCTATACTCACAAAAATTAACTATAGGCCTAGTGTCCTGCACCCACTAGTAAAAAAATATATCTGGTGTCTGAATAATGTTTGGTTTGACTGTGGATTAATTCTTGTTAAAACTACAAAGTAATTCAGTCAAGAGCAGTGAGTGATTTTCGTTCTTTCATTTTCTTGGATTCACATTAAGGACACCGACAGCAGCTAGTAAATTAGGCGTGTTTTTTTCGAACATACTTTCCAAGACGGGTATTTTGACATAATTTTGTATGCATTTATCGGTACAAGAGCAAGAAGAGGCAAATTCGGTGTTTAAGCGCTTTGAGACGTGTCTCTCTGCGTGCGCCCTAAACACCAGAACACCGCGGGTGCTGAATTGGGCTCTTTCACATGTTTTTCTGTTTGTTTAAACGGCAAATTGTATTTGTTCGTTCAGGTGCAGGAGGACGCGAACTTCGCGAAGGAGAGCTCGGTTCGGTGTTGCTGTGTGTGTGAGACGCGGCTCTCTGCGTGTGCACCGAACACGGCGCGCGTCGCGTGAACTCAGTTGAGCTTTTCCGCGTCTTGTGTTTGAATGCTTTACACTCTTTTGAATGTTTAAATCGGCAAGGCTTAAAAACACGTGCAAATTATAAGCTTTCGTGAAGACGCGCAGCAGTGGCCCGTCAACTGTCCTGATCGAGCGTCTTTTTTAGGCTGGCCTCAGCCAGTCGGTTGAGATCACCGTGGGCCCCTATAATCGTCACCACCTTTCACCCCACTAGCGATGGCCCTGCCTATCTGATCTGAAGGTGACAAGAGTGATTTTTAGGCTTTTATCTGTTTAGTTGGCTACACTCTTAAAAATAAAGGTTCTTTATTGGCATCCGTGGTTCCACGAAGAACGTTTAACATCCATGGAACTTTTCCATTGCACAAAAGTTTCTTTCCATTGCACACAATAACAATGGCTCTTTTAAAAACTGAAAGGTTTTTTAGGGAACCAAAAATGGTTCTTCTACTGTATGGAATCACCCTTCTCTATGGAATGGCTACGTACCCCTCTGTTGTGTGGTTGATGCATAATGTGTTCGAGGAATTTGTAAAAAAATAAAAATAGAAAGTGTATATCTTAGGTCCTGTAATTGGTTGCCATTCCTTTTAAGATGCGGTGTGACAAATGAATTTTAAAACTAAAATTATTCCATGTAGTCTCTGACTATGAGCCCATAAAACTGCATGCATTGTAATTATAATAATATTACAGTAATTCAACCTTAATACACGGTTATTAGCTATGAGCTGTGACTGAGGAATTCTAATCGTGGACTAAGGAAATAACATGCTCTTAAACTACTGTAATTCAGCATACAGCACATGACACCATAATACAAAGGCTTTCTTTATCTTTAATAATCTATTCGCTGCATACTCACGTGGAGAAGTGAAATGAAACGATGACTGATGTGTTAAAACCCGTTTTTATACAGTCTATGGTTAAAACCACCCGGATTTCCTTAGCGTTGTTTGGCCTTTCCTGTTTTAGCGTGCAGTGTTTCCATAGAGACGAGTTCTTGTAGTCATTCTCGCTTCAGGTATTTGATGAAGCGATTAGAACGCGATGTTTATCTTCCGCTGTTGTTCAAGTTTACTGGTTTAACAGTCAAACGGTACAAAAACAATGCGAAACAGAATTTTGAATATAAAAAAACAACTGTGACAACATGAATACTGCAGTTATCTCAATTGTTCAAGAGTCTTGTTTGTGTAAGTTGTTTGTGTAAGTACCTTCACGTTTGGAGACTGTGTGGAAACCTGATATGGAATGAGAACATAGATATAAACTTTTAATACAAAATATCAGCAAACAGAAGCAAATATGTTTTCATCAATCATTTATTAATAATTGCAAGATTACATATTAAGTACCTGTCTATTTGGAATGTGCCACAATCCACTTACACCAAATATACAAATCAACAGATTCCAGCATTAGATTCCAGTTGGCCTTTATCAATATACTAATTGAGGACTGACCATATCAAAAAGATTACACCTCATTGGCAACTAAATTCATATCTCCATAAATACACAGTACATATGAATAACTATCAGCAAAGCAAAAGGTATGAACAAAAAAACAAGGCCCTTCCTATTTAATTTGCTTATGAAAATACATTAATTCAGGATGAAACCATGATACTTAGCATTTGTGGAGAGAAATAGACATACTATGTTTGTAGTGAAAAACACATTACTCAATCCTCAGCATATTCAATAGAACACCATGCAAAAACTTACATCGGATATGCTTGATGACTGTGTACAATGAGAATTTTATGTATTAAAAACAGTGATTTACTCACATCTTGCCATGCATTCACTAGTCTTGTTTTATAAGCTTGTTATGTTAACCAGATTCCTTCAAGACATTCGTTTAATGACCGTTTTCTATAAGAAAACTGCGCTTGTGATAAAGGGGTGCTTATAAGTCTGGAAAACCAGCACATATGTAGGCCTACTTATAATCCATTTAACCTGACACAACAGAATGTGTCCTTAAAGCTATTTCAACAGCCTTGCCTGTTCTGAAAAAGTGACATACATGCCAGTGCAAATCAAAAATGGCCTATCGGACATTCATCCACAAGAATACAGCTAAAATAAATGTAACAAATATAACTTCATTATAGAGATGATTTGCAAGGTCAGTTATTCAACTGAAGAGTAACAGCCATGTGAAACAAGCAAAGAATGTGTCCACAAGATAAATAATACAGCTTTACGTACCAAATTGAATGTTTGTGAAAATAAATATTAGACTTAAAGTTAGTATTTCCTTCATTCATTAAAAAAGTTAGAAGAACAGTTTCATGGATGGAATGTTCAGATGAATTTCACTTTTCATATTATAATATTACAGTAATATTATAACAATATAGTATAAATTATGCATATACAGTGGGTACGGAAAGTATTCAGACCCCCTTAAATTTTTCACTCTTTGTTATATTGCAGCCATTTGCTAAAATCATTTAAGTTAATTTTTTTTCCTCAATGTACACACAGCACCCCATATTGACAGAAAAACACAGAATTGTTGACATTTTTGCAGATTTATCAAAAAAGAAAAACTGAAATATCACAAGTCCTAAGTATTCAGACCCTTTGCTCAGTACTTAGTAGAAGCACCCTTTTGATCTAATACAGCCATGAGTCTTTTTGGGAAAGATCCAACAAGTTTTTCACACCTGGATTTGGCGATCCTCTGCCATTCCTCCTTGCAGATCCTCTCCAGTTCTGTCAGGTTGGATGGTAAACGTTGGTGGACAGCCATTTTTAGGTCTCTCCAGAGATGCTCAATTGGGTTTAAGTCAGGGCTCTGGCTGGGCCATTCAAGAACAGTCACAGAGTTGTTGTGAAGCCACTCCTTCGTTATTTTAGCTGTGTGCTTAGGGTCATTGTCTTGTTGGAAGGTAAACCTTCAGCCCAGTCTGAGGTCCTGAGCACTCTGGAGAAGGTTTTCATCCAGGATATCCCTGTACTTGGCCACATTCATCTTTCCCTCGATTGCAACCAGTCGTCCTGTCCCTGCAGCTGAAAAACACCCCCACAGCATGATGATGCCACCACCATGCTTCACTGTTGGGACTGTATTGGACAGGTGATGAGCAGTGCCTGGTTTTCTCCACACATACCGCTTAGAATTAAGGCCAAAAAGTTCTATCTTGGTCTCATCAGACCAGAGAATCTTATTTCTCACCATCTTGGAGTCAATTAATGAGGGAAAAAAAATTAACTTAAATGGTTTTAGCAAATGGCTGCAATATAACAAAGAGTGAAAAATTTAAGGGGGTCTGAATACTTTCCGTACCCACTGTATATGACATTAAGAAAAAACAAAAGAACACATAAAACTTCATTTTTGCCACTCACATGAACTACTGGAAAGCCATAACACTTTGAAAGGTTAAATAGGAGTTATTTTAACTGCAGATTTCTGAACCCTCAATCCTGTGCAATCTCTCCGGCTTTATACCGGATCAATCACATAGACCAAAAAAAAACTGCACAGTATTCTGTAAGACAGCCTATATCTAGACCTATAAAATCTCCATTCACAATAACAACACAAATTGGCCACATTGACGTCCGTTCATATTTACTTGACTGATGTAAACGCTCAGAGACGTTACCTGATACCTATCAGTAGTAAATGATGAGAAACAGTGTGTTGAGCTAAATCTTCCGTGTCTGTAGTACTTCTCATGACTGAGTACTCCGACTGTACTCATTTCTTGAAACTGAGCAAAAGAGACATTTCCCATTTGTCTCATGTAGCAGTCTGACTGCCTGGCACTTCAAAACAAGTGTGTGCATTAATCTATATGTCTGTGTGTTTATCAGGATGCATGCAGATGACTACATTGCATTACAGGATACAGGAAGTCGAAGATGTTTAAAATGAGAGGGACAGACCACACCTGTAGAGATGAGTGTTTTTAGAGGTAAAATTCAGCTTATTTTCTCATGACTGTTTTTGACCAAAGTGAGAAACATCAAACATCATCAAAGATTCGGCTTCGAGAAGAAGACATAGAGAAGTACCTTCCACCGGCATGTCTGTGGGGAAAGGAAACAAAGGAGTGAGTGCATGCAGTAGGTGCAGGAAAACTTAAAAAATTAAAACTAAACTCATGACAATAGAGTGACGCAGGGAAGATGTATTTTTGTTGGCCAAAACCCAGAAACGAGTTAGCATTTTTGCTCTTGCGGTTTCATCATCCTGAAGTCACAGTTTTGTTTTGTTTTTGTTAAATGCCTGTAATAATGCCTGTAATTTAATAATTGTATTATATGACATAAAATCTATAGTACCTAATAAGATTAGACAACTTTTGTTGGTCACAGAGCTGATTTTCTGCAATAATTTGTCGAGGGAACCAGGGTGATGCTAACTTTTGTGTTGGCCTACAAAAATATTTAATTCCTGCAGCACTCAATAAAACTCAATCTAACCTGCCAGGTTCAGATTGCAAAGGGTCATCAGTGAGTGTTTCAGCATTAAAGTCCAACGGCTCAGCATCTTGCAACAACTCAATGCTGTCTCGCCCTGTCTGGCTGCTGCTAGGGGTGTAGTTGGCCTCTTGTGTATAAAAATTAATGGATTAATATTCAATTGACTGCTTCTTTACAAAATTCACTTAATAACAAATACTCTATAGGAATACTACAGGACACATGTCTTATTGGGCATTAAACATACGCCGGTTTGTGTTTGAATTTAGGGTTTCGCCGTAGTTGGTTTCCTTCATCTCAGACATGGAAGTCCGGTTTCTGCCAGCAATCTCATCTCGTTGTGCATAACGCTCTCTCCATTCCTGTCATATACATATAATCATATATGTGTGTAATATGTATTATTAGAGTAATTATGTATATATTACTCTGTACTACTTAGAACTCACTCTTCGTCTGCTCTCCCCATCTTCTATTCTTTGGCGTTTTCTTCTTTCTATGCAAGAAAAAAAACGAAACAACAAAATTAGTTAAGTACATGTCTTCGTTTAATACCAGATGGGACTGTGTTAAATGTTTATGTTTGTGTCAGCGGTAACTACGCCTCTGACGCACTGAGGTTTTCACCACTGCAGAAAGTAGAGATGTAGCAATGAGCAAAAGTGATTTCTGTCTGAATCACTATTTATTTCTGTATCACATCTAGCCATAGCAACCACAGGAGATGGCTTTACCTTATTTTTATACTACCATTCAAACAGTTAGATTTGTTTGACATTAATTTTTTGTCATGGTCTCAAAAAGGTTTTTGCTTAACTGTTTTTAAAACGAGTCTTGTAGACAAGTATAAATTGGGCCTGTGAGTACATTTAATTATATAACTATTTTATATTCTAGTTATCGTTTATTTTAATCTACAAATATAAACAAATCACCTCTGCACAGAAGTTCTCTGCCTTCATCTATGAGGTCAGAGGTCATCTCGTCTCCCATGAACTGCTGGAAACCCAAGAGGTTCAGGCAGCGTGTGCCAAGACTGGACAGAAATGATTTAAAATCAGTCAGAAACTACAACATGAAATTTGACACATACTACCATCATGAAACTCTTCTGTCTGATGATTTATAGAAAATTTTAGATATAACTTCATTATAGAGATGATTTGCAAGGTCAGTTATTCAACTGAAGAGTAACAGCCATGTGAAACAAGCAAAGAATGTGTCCACAAGATAAATAATACAGCTTTACGTACCAAATTGAATGTTTGTGAAAATAAATATTAGACTTAAAGTTAGTATTTCCTTCATTCATTAAAAAAGTTAGAAGAACAGTTTCATGGATGGAATGTTCAGATGAATTTCACTTTTCATATTATAATATTACAGTAATATTATAACAATATAGTATAAATTATGCATATACAGTGGGTACGGAAAGTATTCAGACCCCCTTAAATTTTTCACTCTTTGTTATATTGCAGCCATTTGCTAAAATCATTTAAGTTAATTTTTTTTCCTCAATGTACACACAGCACCCCATATTGACAGAAAAACACAGAATTGTTGACATCTTTGCAGATTTATTAAAAAAGAAAAACTGAAAAATGCTCAGTATTTAGTAGAAGCACCCTCTTGATCTAATGAGAATGACGATCAGCATGGGGTAATAGATGTAGAAGCCATTGGCAATGAAGGACAGGACCCGCATGGAACCCATGATCTACAACAATACAGAAGGTTCCTTTAATGTTTAATAGTAATTAGACATTTCCAAATGGGACTCTGGGCCATTGAAGCCTTGCTGCTCTAAACATATGCTCAGTGGTACTATAAGAGTCTCGCATATTAAAATAATTCTGTACATTTCAAATAATGCTAAAAGACTCACAGAGGTGTATGCCGTCTGCTCCTTTGCTTGGTGGGATATGGCAGAATCCATGTGAATCAGTCCCAGGAAGTTTAGACAAAGTGGGGGAGTCAAGCGGCAAAAAAGCCTAGTAAACAACACATAGGCTTTTGTGGTTTATCGGAGGAAAAACTAAGGGTAGAGTTCACTGAAAATACAATTCAGTTTAATACACTGAATCCTGCTATCTGTGAAACATACATGCCACTGAACTGCAGGCTGTAAGCGTCGGTTTGGTGATGTGAGGCCAGGTAGTAGTAGTTGAAGACTCGAATGCGAAACACAGTGGAGTAGACGCAGGTGCAAAGAAAAAAAATGGTAATGAAGCATGCCATCTACAGGACAAAAAGACAATATTAAGGCGTTTCAGCTGATGCCTCAGGCAAAATCAGGTCAAACTGTCAGGAGGCTCTTAGTTTTGGTCTATGGCAGAAGTCGGTAACCTTACTGACACAAAGTGAATAAAATAAATGACTTAATCAGATTCAGAATGAGATTTATTGCCAAAGTATGCTTACACACACAAGGAAACAGTCTTTGTGACAGAAGCTTCCAGTGCACAGATAGAACTTTATATACAAAACTACAAAAATACATATATAAACATAAATGTAAAAAAATATATAGAATTAAACATTTTTCAAAGGAAAATAATAATTTTATAATTAAAAAATATTTCTATTTCAAAAAACGAATCCTGAAAGAAAATCAGTTTCCACAAAAATTGTTTTCAACACTGATAATAATAAGAAATGTTTCTTGAGTACCAAATCATAATGATTTCTGAAGGATCATGATACACTGAAGACTGGAGTAAAAGCTGCTGTTAATTTAGCTTTGCTGTCACAGGAATAAATTACAAATTATAAAATATAGAAAAAAAAACACTTATTTTAAATAATAATAATATTTTACAATAATACTTTTTTACTGTATTTTTGATCAAATAAATGCAGCCTCGTTGAGCATAAGAGTCTCCTTTTTAAAAAAAGTTAAATCCTTACTTTTTGTCAGCTGCCGCTTTAAATATTTTCCCATAATGTTTGTATAAAGTTCTAAAACAATCATAACTGAGGATCTTATTTGATTCAATAAAGACCTGGAACCAAAAAGAATTTACATGTATATTTTCCTAGATTAGATACCTAAGCTCAGGCAGACTCACCTCAATGTACAGGTAGTTGTAATCTCTCTCAGCAAGCTGGATAAACACAGCAAAGAGTGACAGAACGGGACGAGTACTGAAGAAAGTGCACTCGGACCAAACCACAGCCACCGAAAAGAGTGACAGAAGCACAGACAGTATACGGTAAAACCACTGCTTCAGCAAACACTCCCAGTACCACTCTGATGAAGGAAGCAAAAGACAGTAAAGGCAGGATCAACACTGACATTTGTTTCAAATATAGCATATCCACATCTATTAGAGCACCTACCTACTGTGGGCGTATAAATGTAGCGTCTGAACCAGCCGACAGGTTCTGGAGGGGCAAAGCTGTGAACGAACTGCCGAGAGGTGCTGGTTTCATTCTTGGCAACGTCCTCAAGATGGAAAGCCTGTTCCAGCAATATCTGCCACTGAACGTGCGTGCGATTGTGCCGCTGGACTGCGTAGATTACCTAAGAAACCAGTTGTTAGTATTATTCCAGAGCAAAATTCAGAAAACACAGAAAAAACACTTGAGCAGTACCTGCTTGTGTAGTTTTGAAAGGCTTCTTTCAGTGGGATATGTGTTATGTTTATCATCAAAATCCTCATAGTCGTCCATGTTCCTGCCCATTTTCTCCTGATATTCAACTGGACACTAAAAACAATAAGCAGATTTCTACTAAAAAGAGGGGCATGATTACTTCAAATCACATATATACATAAAAATGCACCAGAAGACTGCTATCATGTTGTCCTCTCACCTTTCGGAGAATGGTGTCCACGTTCTTCCTCAATGGATGATTATATTTGATTGATTCATTGATTTTTCTCACTTCCTGTGATAAAAATACAAACATCTAAGACACAATGTTGGCTGAACGGACTCATATCTGGCATTACCTTTCAAAAACCAGCTCATCTGGACTCATATAGCGTGAACGGATGTTTGTTTACGGTGTATAAACACACATGGCTTTCACCTCCATGACATCTTCTAGGTTCTCCTCTGAATCTGCCTTCTCTGTCATGAGCTTGGCCGCTTTGAAGTAAGTCTTGATGAGGAGGTGACCCTGGCGCGATGCCTCCCAATACGAGCGAGGGATCTCGACCAGGCCGTAGCCCAAGAGCAACACTAGAAGAAACAGACCCCAAGTGTTGGCTGCAGTGATGCCGATGGTTTGCAGCTCATACCTGGTGAAGTGATACAGAAAAAAAGTCAGTATGGAAAGCCAACAATGGAAGAATGTTCTGGATTGGTTTACAGACCAGGAGAGGTGCCACTGAGGATGCACGGCCACATAGATGAGAAGAGAGCCGAAGATGAAAAGGTATGTGCCATAATAGATGGCATTCTCAATGAGAGCCGTCTTGATCTTTCCAGTAATGGAGAATCCTCCAGAACGAGCATACGACTGCATGAATGGCAGAAGGAGCCTTGGAAGATCAACACTGTTATTAACCACTATTCTTACAGGTATAATACAGCATAGTTATTTATGCATTATTTAAACCAAGGGTTCACAGAAAATTTGTGAGAAAATAATATTTACTGTGAAAAGTGCTATACATATACATTTGAAATAAACTGAACATGTTCTAAAATTACAAGTAATATTTTCCTAATATTTTGAAAATATGTCAATAATTTAAATTGGCTTTAATACAATATAAATACAATATAAACATTTAAAACACCCAAATTTAAAATAATTATAAAATTCATCAAACTTACTATTATCCTCAGTTTAAATAAAGATCTTTATAAAGGACAATGAGCTTTAATATTATTATTATTATATTTTGGAAGGGGCACTTTACTTGGGGGTCCGTGGCATTATTATTAAATATTAGTATTACTACTAAATAAACAAAATAAGAAATATTACTAGTGTAATATTTCACTGTAAAATAAAAAAAATGAAGTAAGAAAAATAATAAAACTATTATTAATCATATTTATAATTAATTTAAATAACAATCATTTTATTTTACCATACAAATGTAAAATTACAATACTAATTTTCATGACTGTCAAACGTTAAAACATCAAGCTTTTATTTTGCTGGAAATCCAGGAGCCCTTAAAGCTTCTTTACTGTTGACAGTTTGAGAAAATGGTTGGTGCATGTTGTCTTTCTCAATGCATAATAAAAGTGACCCAAACTCAAGAGCATGTGTAAGAGCTGCTCATGTGTAAATGAACACAGTGCCACAATTCATTCTGAAACAAGCAGCGCACACATTTATTAAATTAAATAGCAATCTTTATGACATCTCTTTTTGATAAACCATGTAGCGATTTCAGGGTTTTCCCCCCAATTAATCTTGCAGCCCTACAACAGATTTGTGTAGTAACAGTGACAAATATTTACCAGGAAGATTTAAGACGCCATTATCAAGTTTGAAAAGGACAAAGCTTTCTCACCAAGTAAGACACTGTGATGTCCAATAAACAACCCTCCAGAACACGGGCATGATGCCATCTGGAATGTAGCTCCATGGTTTATAGCACACACGTTGGGTGCTTTGGAAAAAGGGACATAATATATGTTCACAAACAGTTTTGTGCTCAATCAGAACAGGACTAACTGAATACATGGGCTGCAGGTGAATTCATAGGCTTACTTTTTACTGGCTGAGATGGAGGTATTTGGAGTTGTCTGGTTTGAAAGGACAGGGCTCACTGAGGGCGTCTGGGCATGTGCTTCGTGATCAATTAAACACTGCTTGTAGATTGTCTGAAAATCAATTGCACAAGTTGCAGAGTTGCATCAGGAATTAACTGCACTGGACACTTCTATTGAGTGGGAGCCACACTAACCGTGCTGACATCCAGGGGAAGAATGAAGACGATGAGAAAGCATAAATACCAAGCCAGCAGTGTGCCAAAGAGAACCATGCGCTGCTGCTTCTTGAAGTCGCCATAGCGATGCAGGAGGAAGAGAGCCAGGAAAAAGACCACCACAATCTCTATTCCCAGCGCCGCCCCACTCATAGTGCACACCGCACTCCTCTCACTCGTCAAGGGACTGAGAACAACTGCAAACAGAGAAAGACAAAGACCAAAAGACAAATGACATGCAACAGGAAACAGTTAAAAACCACATGAAATGAAAGTTGGGGTGGGGGATTTCAAAGAACTCCTCCCTTATGTTTTTAATACACAATAGTCTGTAGTTTGTCACGCTTCACCTGAATTTCTGCAGAAAACTATTTTGAGATTTTAGACAAAAAAAAAAAAAGTGAGGTTAAATTTGGGGAAGTCGTGGCCTAATGGTTAGAGAGTCGGACTCGTAACCCAACTTTTTCTTTAAATATTACCAATAAATGCAAAACAATATCAAAATCTCTATTGAAGATGGTTCAAATCTACATAATCTATAAACAATTATGTAAACTGTATTTTAGCAGATTGTTTACTGTTATGATATCATGTGCATTAATTCAAATACTTGAAGTTTTTTGAAGTTAACATTATTTGAATGGGTAACAGGTTTAATTTTTTTAAATTAATTGATTCAACTGAAGTGTTTGACATAAATGGAGCGTTTTAATGGTTACAAAACATAATCATGTGCCCTCAAGGCCCTTTATTAAAATACAGGTACATCTAAAAAAATTAGAATATCATGAAAAAGGTCAATTTTTTGTCACTCATTTCAGAAAGTGAAACCCATATATTATATAGATTCATTACACAGAGTGAAATATTTCAAGCCTTTATTTCTTGAAATTTTGATGATAATGGATTTTGCCTGACAATCCTCTCAAGGCTGCGGTTATCCCCTTTGCTGGTGCACCTTTTCCTACCACACTTTTTCCTTCCACTCAACTTTCTATTAATATGCTTGGATACAGCACTCTGTGAACAACCAGCTTCTTTAGCAATGAACTTTTGTGGCTTACCCTCCTTGTGGAGGGTGTCAATGACTGTCTTCTGGACATCTGTCAAGTCAGCAGTCTTCCCCATGATTGTGTAGCCTACTGACCCAGACTGAGAGACCATTTAAAGGCCCAGGAAACCTTTGCAGGTGTTTTGAGGTAATTAGCTGATTAGGGTGTGACACCATGACTTTCCAATATTGAACTTTTTCACAATATTAAAATTTTCTGAGACACTGAATTTTGGGTTTTCATTATCTGTAAGCCATAATCATCAAAATTTCAAGAAATAATGGCTTGAAATATTTCACTATATGTGTAATGAATCTATATAATATATGGGTTTCACTTTCTGAAATGAGTGACAAAAAATATTGACCTTTTTCATATTCTACTTTTTTGAGATGTACCTGTATGTACTTATGTGACTGGGGTATTCAAACAATTCATGGCAGCTGACAGCATATTATGCATCTCAGAGAAACTTTTGTTTTTCCGCATTTGATCGTAAAGACTAATTATGTATAATTTCTTGATTCATTCACGCCTAAATAATCTTATGCAGACAATCAAGTTAGTTTAATGGGCGGGATGGGAAGCAGTGATGGGATTATTTCCGCGAATCGTTCTTTTCAGACAGAACAGGTTCTTTTGAGCTTCATAATGCGTGTCGAAGTCGTAAACGCATTTCCATTACTAACACTGGAATTACATTTTGCACCATTCTCACAATGCTTTAAAATAAATGCAGCCCGACTGGTTTTGAATCAGGTTTTTAACCAAGTCATCAAAAAAGATCCGACTCAAAAGAATGATTCATTCACGAATCCGACATCGCTAGAATAAAGCATACACATTCAAAGCTAATACATTACGTGCAAGGCATTCCTATTTATACACAACTGTTTGATGACAACGCTTGCTTTCATCGCAAACAAATCTGTCAAGCAAAATCTCCACTCCAGCTGATCATTCGGGCTGTGTCCGTGTTTTGCTCTGAATCATGGGATCAAATGAATTCGCCTTACCTCAGATCTGCTGCAGAGAAATATGAGACGCAATATACATATATCCTAATTCAATCCCAAAGTAAAGACAAATCTAGAGCATTGCGTGATGATAAAAATTACCTGGAGGAAATCCACATTTCACCGATTTCCAGAAAACAAACGTCACGGCTCTGACGCGTCTTATGGGCGCGGCCTATTTTCTTCTGGTGTTATCGGCAAGACGCCATAGGTGCATATCGCCAACTACTGTGTATGAGTGCAAATAGTTTTATCAGCAAAAAAGGAAAATTACGACGGGCTAAAAAAAAACACTGTTTAAGATGTTTAGTCTTTTTGGGGCAGATGCTTTAATTATATAGTTTATGTGTAAGATAACGCCTTCAGTGTCCTAGCTGTGAATTAGTTCTAAAAAAGTTAATTATTATAAAATGATTCTTTGATTTTCATTAAAATGGCCTATAGAAAAAGTACTGATGCTGCCTAGAAAAATTGCACAGTATAGGCTACATTAAAATTAGTACCAAAAATAGTACATTGTAACAAAGAGAATATGCGTACGTAGGCTATATGTTGCAGAAATGTAGACTTATACGAATCAAATGTGTAATCAAAAAAGCTGCTGGGGGAAAAAATGAGTAGGCAAAGCCAGTCCTGTAGAGGGAGCACTGTGCTTAAAAATGTGTATCACCCATAAAGGTATCACCACGTCACCTGACAAAAACAAGAGGCCGTTTAGCTTGAACAGAAGCGAATGGCATGAAGCATTAATACACACACACACACAAAAATTATATATATATATATAATTTTATTTATTTTTGATTTTGTGCTTATCAAATTAAAGATTTCTGCTCACCAGGTAAATCATTTATATTGTCAAGGACCCGGAAATATTGTGACCCTTTCCTGCATCGCTGCCCAAACGATGATTAACCTACTTACACTATTTACAACTAAGTTTAAGTACAGCTCTTACCTGATTTAACAAGGGAAAAAATGAGAACAGGAATAACAATAAAACCAAAAACAACGTCTGACTTCAAAGGTAGATTTCTGTGGTCTGTTCTTCGTATCTTGCTTAATACATCTGAGATGATTTGACATTTAAATATGCACATAGTTTCTTACACAGACGGACGTTTGTGCTGCATGATATATAAAATAAAGTAATATAGGATAATTCACTGCTGTAACAGCGCATTGCAGTTATAATTCATGATTTTAGCAATTCATTTGAAGTGGTTGCTGGTTACACGTTCGAAGAACGTAGCAATCCTGGATCAATTTGATTCCCATTCAATTAAAAAAAGTTATTTGTTACCACCAGACAATATATTTTCATTATTCCAAATAATACACGTGTGCGGGGAAAAATTATGTTTAAAAGCAATCTTCCAGGATTCTAGAGCTTGTTTATGAAAATTTGAGAGTTTAATAATTTACTACACTTAAAGGTACAGGCCACCACAACGATTAAAGATTAGGTTAGGGATCCAAAACCATCTCGGGAGCCATTATCGTGGAATGGTCAGTTGAAGTGTTTGTGAAGTGGGGATTAATACAAACTGAACATGCACAAAACTACACATGTTAAGTTTTATGATTTATTCTTATCAAAGAATGTCACTGGAAACCTGAAGCAGTCACGTGGTTGTGTGCGAAAACGAAGCTTCGGACGTCACAGATCACGTGGTTATGGCAAAATGAATCAAGCTCCGGTACAGTGATAGAGATATTTATTTTCTTTCTTTCTTTTTTTTTCTTTTTTTTGATACAAGCTTCGAAGCCTCGGTGACGAGCGTCACATCACTCCAGCACACAGTTGTTTGAAAAAACAAATGCAACAGTAGGCCTACTTGGGGAGAACTGTTTGGTGATATATCTGCGCTGTCTCGATTTGATTTCGGCGTCCTCAAGGTAAGATTTGTCGATCAATACGACCCGTTCCATGTGAGTTTGAAACACTATGTTGTAGCGATTGGATGAATTAATGCAGGGGGTTCACCTACGGGTCTACAGTATTGTCTTTTCACAATCAAGGCTCATTTATGAATGAATGAGCATGACGCGTTTGTTTATTAATTGTCCAGATTACACAGTATTTTGAGTTCGTAAACGATACTGTAACTGTATTGTATTGTCTTTAGTCGTACGTACTTTATTAACTCATGTTGTAAATAGCTCTAACATATACTAATACACCTATATCGCTAAAAGTATGTGGGCACCCTAGGGAGGGTCTTTTCTGTTTTTGCATGACAATGTCCTTGTGCACAAAGTGAGGCCCATATAACGTTAGAAGCTATTTACTGAGTCTGCTGTGAAAGAACTTGAATGACCTAAACAAACCCCAGACCTGAAGTCTGCTGAACACATTTGGAAAGAATTATAACTCCGCCAACAACATTGAACCCCTTTGACTTTTATTTTACACTCATAAAACCTTTCACAACAAAATATTTCAGAATATTTTTTTCTGTGTTCCATAGAAGAAAGTCAGTCATACAGGTTTGAATGTGTTACGGGGCTGACGAGACGTGAGACGTGCGGATCCAATTGCAAGCTATTTATTAGGAGAAGACAGAGACGTGGTCAAGGGTTATTATCATTCTGAAACAGAAAAAGCCCCTCCTCAAAATAAATGTTCCAAACACACAATTCTCTAGAATGTAATTATATTGTGTTGCATTAATATTTGTTTTCATTAAAATTACTGGAACAGCCAGCTTTTAATTAGAAGGGGTGTCCATATACTTTTGGCCATTTAGTGTATGTGGACATCCCCAGGTCTGACTACTCCAGGGATTTTTGTCATTGTTGTGTTTCTGACTTACAATAAATTACAGCTTTATTTTACAGTGTCCTTGTTACACGTTACACATACTTACTATAGTAATAACAGTAAATTATGCATAATTACAAGCAGCTAACCCTAAACCAAACCCTAATCCTAACCGTGTTATACAAGTACATGTTGATTACATGTTAATTAAATGTACATTAATATTACTTAGTACTTAAATGTGTAATTACACTGTTGTACACAAGGAAATGTACACAAGGAAAAATAAATATTGTAACATTGACATTGTTTGTATTGTTTTATTTTCAAATATTAGTAATGTCATTTGCAACACTATCAAAAATAGAATAGAAATGTATGATGCCTTTTCTTTGGGCCTCATCTTTTTTTTAGTGATACACCAGAATTTCAGCAACTGAAAATATGCAAAAAAATAAAAAATTGTAGTAGCAATATGGAAAATGTACTTGTCTAAAATATTGAGAGGCAGTTTGTTGTTGAAAAACTTTACTTTTAATTTATCATCTGAGAAAACAACATCCTAAACAGCATGACAATTTCAGTTCTGTGGTTATTTTATTACAGAAACTTTAATTTTGGTTTTGGTCTTTGGCTAAATGCAAACATTAATTTTGGTTTTCTATATAAAAAAAAAACATTGTTGATGCATCACTAACCTTTCTATTTATTTCTCTATTCTTCTTTAATGCCAGCTGGTGCAAGCTGATCCTCCTGGACACCCCAGCCCTCATCACAAATGGCTGAACTGGAAACACAAGTAGTCGAAAAGCTTTCTGATCCTCCTGAAGAAGTAAGTCAAATGACAGCTGTGGCTATTTTGCAGAATGACAAAAACAGCTGCATGTTCACCTTCTTTCTCTCCCTTTCTCCAACAGATTTTACTACCAGAAGGTTGGAAACAGACGCTGCCAAAAGAGCAACATCTCTGGGTCAGTAAGACTCTCTTCAGCAGAGATGCATCTGGGAAGTTAAAGCTGATTGAACCTCTGCAGCTGTGGTGGTCACCTCCAGGACCCCAGTTGTTGTATTCACAGCCTCCTCCTTTTCCTGACCCGTTCTTTCACAGCAGGCTGTTCCTTTGGATGCCTTGTCGCATGTGGGCGTACAGGCTGCTGTGCACGAAGCCCAACTGCCGTCGTCTTGGCAATCATTTGAGGCCTTGTGGACTGTACAGCACTGTCCGGAGGGTTTTGGACATGAGCGGGTGGTATTTCATGGTCACGGAGTACCTGGAGTGCTGTTCTTGCAGGAAAAAGGTGGCGGGCTGGTCGCAAGACATCCTGGATCAATTAGATCTCATCCATCGTGAGAAATTCCCAGCAGTCTTGACTTACAGGTTAGCGGAGTTGTTTGACAGCCAATAAACACTCTCAGAAAAAAGGTACAAAAGCAGTCACTGGGGCGGTACCTTTTCAAAAGGTACACTTTTGTACCTTTTAGGTACTAATATGTACACTTTAGGTACTTATATGTACCTTTAAGGTACCAATATGGACTGTTTAGGTACCGCCCCAGTGACGACTTTTGTACCTTTTTTTCTGAGAGTGTACTGTAAAAATGGGTTTGATTTTGTGTAATGTCTTTTGTTCAAAGGTTGTCCTGCGATAAGGAGCTTGTTAGATTGATGCGGAGTCAGACACCAGGGAAGAGTGCGATGTCTCTGTATCAGCACCTTTGTGTGCGGCACAAAGAGCAGTGGCTGGCTCAGTCCGCAGAGTATCTCTCTGTACTGGACAAGTTTCAAGATCTCAGCACTGTTACTGCCAGGCTGCTGCAGATTATGCCAGTGCCTTCTCTATCGTTGCTGTTGATGGTATATGCAAAGGATGTACTGACACGACTCGGAGAGATGAAGGCCAGGGTCACTTCCATCTACGGCTCCATCCTGAAAATGGTCTCCACCGAAAAGGTGAGTAGACACAACTAAATTTTATGCATTTATTAATACATACATTCAAAAGTTGCAAAAAAAAGTCTCAATTATATGATTAAAAATACAGAAAAAACATTTTTCTTTTTCTATTCTACTGTTTTCTATTAGAATATGTAATTAATTCCAGTGATGCAAATCTGAATTTTCAGCAGCCATTACTCCAGTCTTCAGTGTCATGTGATCCTTCAGAAATCATTCTTAATATGCTGATTTGGTGCTCAAGAAACATCTTATTATCATGTTGAAAACAGTTGCATAATATTTTAATATATACAGCTGCATTATATTTTATTGGAAACTGAGATGCATTTTTTCAGGATTCATTGATTAATACAAAGTTCAAAAGAACAGCATTTATTTGAAATTTAAATCTTTGGTAACATTATAAATATCATTAGTGTCCCTTTTAAGTCTTCCTGACC